TGGCTGCGTTTGCCCCTCGTCCCACAGAGGCGGGCATGCAGACACGGCTCCCAGGCTCGGGGTGCAGAGATAAAACGCTAATCGCATTTTTCTCCACCTTCTGGGCCTGCAGGGTTTTCGCTTGCTTCATGGGGCCGGTATTCCCCTTCCGCTTTCCCTGCCAGACAGGGAGTGGGGCGGGAGGGGGGCAGACACTGATCATCTTACCCAGCAGGGCCTGAGCACCTCCCCTTGGGCCCCCAAATCCAGAGGCTCCCAACGACACTCCAAGGTTTCATCTGGGCCCGAAGTGAGTGGGGCCATCCAGACTGCTTTTCCAGGCAGAGCAGCAAAGGAATAGAGCTAGAACTACATCTAGAAGGCCCGGGGACTGGGGCATCCCGATGGTGCCCCGGTGCACCCAAAGGCCCATCATTTTGCTTGTCCTGGGAATGGAACTCCTATTTTTATATTTCCTTCCTTCCTTCCTTTCTTCCTCCCTTCCTCCTCCCTCCCTCCCTCCCTCCCTCCCTTCCTTCCTTCCTTCCTTCCATGTATGTTTATTTTTGAGAGAGACAGAGCATGAGCTGGGGAGCAGCAGAGAGAGGGTGACGCAGAATCTGAAGCAGGCTCCCAGCTGTCAGCACAGAGCCCGACGCGGGGCTCGAACTCACGAACCAAGAGATCATGACCTGAGCTGAAGTCAGACACTTCACCGACGGAGCCACCCAGATGCCCCTTTTATATTTTCATCACTGGGGGCAAACGTTTGTGCAGTGCTTGGCAGCTGGCAAAATTCTTCGACAGGTTTTCTGATTTAAGCCTTAAAGTGCTCCGTGAGGTGGGCCTTCTAAGGCCACTCGTTGACCCAGATGAGGGAGGTGACGCCCCAGTAAGTACCAGAGCCAGGACCCAAACCAGTCTGAGGGCTTGGCGCTGGGAGGGCCCTGCCTCTGAGATAAGGACCTGGCCCCGTGAGAGCAGCCTCACCCCAACGATGCCTGGGCCTCTGGCGACATGTCTGTTCAAATTGTAAAGTGCCCTATTTTGACCTCTCCTGCTTCCCTAGAGTTACCAGCGAAACCTCAGAAGCACAGTTCTCTGCTCTATGTTCAGGGAAGTTGGGGGGGGGGATACTCTGAAGTCATTAGTACCTCTTCTGCAGAAGGGCGTCCACACCCCGTTTCTTCCCCAAGTCCCTAAGTCTGGGCTCGTGGTCAGATTCCAGAACCTTCTTGCCCAGAGGCAGAACACACACTGTACTCCTGTCCTGGAGTCTGAGGTGGACCCAGCCCTACCCCTACCCCAGCTCTTGGCTCCCCAACTCTCTCTCTCTCTCTCTGTTTTTAAAAGTTTTATTTATTTATTTTGAGAGAGAGCAGGGGAGGGGCAGGAAGAGGGAGAGAGAGAGAGAGAATCCCCACTCTTGGCTCCTCAACTCTGTCCCTTTTTTCCCCCCAAGTTTTATTTATCTATTTCTTTAGAGAGCAGGGGAGAGGCAGATGGAGGGGGAGACAGAATCCCAAGCAGGCTCCGCACTGTCAGCACAGAGTCTGACACGGGGCTCGAACCCACGAACCAAGAGATCATGCCCTGAGCTGAGATTGAGTCAGATGCTTAACTGACTGAGCCACCCAGGCATCCCTCCCTGACTCTCTTTAATAGACATGCCTATACCCGAGTTTCCTCAATGTGTGTTTTCTTGCGTTCTTGCAAGTGGGTTTCTGGTTTGGTCCCTATTTCAAGCTCTTCTTCCAGGATTCTGCACTCACGCCACTTTGGTCCCTGACCCTTGCCTCTCACCCACACATTGGGCACCCCTTCCTGAGGTCTGTCGTTTCTCCTTGTGCCCATGTCATGGCTGCCAGACCCTGCCCACAGGTGCCCAGGCCTGCGTCACCTCCTCCATGGGTTCCTTTCCAGCCCTGGCCCTGGGGTGAACACTAAACCCGAGATTGGGCTAGGAAGAGAGAGACCTGAATGGAAGGAGGGGAAGACCTAGGAAAGGGGGCAGTGGACCACCACCCTGGGGGCTACAGGGAAGCCCTGAGAGGGACCTGGCAGAAGGGAGCCCAGGAGGGTGGCCCCTCTGCTTCTGGGGCCCTCCTCTCTTGGCCTCCAGTGTAACAGCCCCCATAACAGAGTGGCTGGCCCCCCAGGGCACGGGTGCCTGAGATATTTTTAAAAACCATTACAACAGTTCTAACTGGGGAGAACCAGCCTCCAGCTAGGCCATAGGGTCAATAGCGTTTAATCTCCTGCCTGTGATCTCTCCGCTCTTGTGGCCAGCTGTCAAACGATCAGCTTGGATCAGCTGAAGATGGAAATGTCATTATTTATTTTGAAGCCGTTCGCATTTAATTCCACAAAAATTGCGCCACAGAGCAGAGGTTATGGGGGATTACTGGAAAAAGGGAGATCGGAGTGACTTCGGGCCTGATTCACATCTGCCTCCCTTCCAACAGGTTGGCCCCTTGCAAGGGACCATTGGTTTTGATGGATGGCTGCGTGTGTAGGCCTTGCCTTTAAGACATAGATGCTTCAGGTCTCTGTGCCTTGAGCAGTGGGAAGTCGGGCAGGAGGCCTGAGCCCTGTGCTTTGCCAGGGTGAGTGCTCATCTTCTTTTCTGTTCTTAATCATCCTAGTGACGGCATGCCCTCAGACTGCCGGGAGGGCAAGGTGGGGGGGGGGAAGTTGGTGCCAAGTTGATTGACTGGAGC